TCTATATTACACAAGATGGTCAGCTTTCGTGCAATAAAAAAAATAAAAAATGAAATCCATAAATAGAATCTAACTCTTTCCCTGGCTATTTTTAATCTACGATGGGCGTACCAAAAGTTTTTACCTGTTAGTGTGTGGCCTTGAAAAAACCTTAAGAATAGAAGACCCTCTCTTTGTCAGAAATTCAGCCTTCTACCTCTTCTTTGATCTCGTCATCACTTTCAAAATGCCTTCCCTTTAAATTCTATTTCAGTTTGGGGAATTTTAAAAAGTTGGACAAGGCTACATCTGGAAAATTTAGTGGATGTGGCCAAATTTCATAGCCACTTTCTTGCACAGTTTCTGCAGCTTTTCTTGAATTGTGAGCTGGCGCTTTTTTGTGAAGCAGTAAAATGTCTATTCGGATCTTTCCTCTTGTAATTTTTTTTTTAGCTGGTTAGAATAATGGTCTCCGGTGATCGTATATCCATTTTTAAGATAGTCTGAGTCATAATCACTCCTTAACGTTTCAATAAAACTGATAGCATCACATTTCCACTTGATGGCTGCACTTTTGCCTTCTTTGGTGTTGGAGACGAGGGCGGTTTCCACTTCATTGATGCAGATTTTGACTCAGGATCATAGTGTTGGACACATGTTACACATCCATGGTTACAGGTCTTTCAAAAAATTTACTTGTAGTTGCTTGCCTTGCAAGAACAAAAACTTCATTACTGCCCTGTGCTCAATTTTCTCCATGTTTATGTTGAAACTGGTGAACAACATACCCCCATTCACTTACAGTGCCCTGGTGTTAAAACCAGTGATTGGAAATTCCCTCCAGAATTTCCGTGCCTTCCTGGAAGATAACTGTTGACTTTGACCCCAAATTTAAGTTTTCTACTTTTATTTCTTCATGGTCGGGTAAAAAACTTTTGGTATGCCCCTCGTATACCATACAATTCTCAAGAAAGAAGTAAATTTTTAAAATCTAACTGCAAAATGTAAAATAAAAGAGGGGAAAGGATTTTTTGACCCGTTTGTCCTTCTTTGACTCTAGATCTTCATGTGTGCTTTTAGTTTTGTGGTTGAAGAAAAATATCTTTAGCTGTAAGAGTAGGGTAGTGGCCAAAATATGCCTCTCTTATTTTGCCTTGTACAAGTGTTTTATGCCGCTGTCCTCAATCCAGTCACGTTGAACCTGGATCTGTTGTCTCTCACGATTGTAACCCATGTATGTATATTTGTAAGTAATGTAAATCCTTGAAGGGGAGGGGGATTTTTCACCTTTTGTCATTTTACGTCTACTGTTTGAGAACGCAGAAACCTGTATTGTTCATGTATTGTGACTATATTGAGAATTTGACGCTTGCTTTGGCGAATTAAATTCATTGTGCCTTCTGAAGCTGAGTGTATTGCCTTTGTTTAAAGATATGTTCACTTGTGTTTTGTAGTACCTATTATTATTTTTTCTAAAGGAGAAAATATAGATTAATGATTAAACAAACATTTACTGGGATGTAGATAAATTTTTAATGAGTTATTCCACCTCAGTGGAGGGTAAAACTTTTTCCTGGTTTCTTGTCTTAGTCACCCTGGTTCTCGGTGATGAAATGGATAGGCTCTGCACTTTACTTAGCAGAAGAGGTGAGTTCAGTTGCCAGGCGAGGAAGTGTCTGCTCCCTCAAGTGTTTTCTTCACTGTATGGGTTGGCTCTGACAGGCAGGATTGCAGCAGCCCACCTTCTAAATGACGTAAATTGTGTTAATGGGGGCGTTAATATTATTATTAATATTAATAATCAATTTAGAGAGATGTGTGCAAATGCAAGTCTACGGTGAAGTTTTGCTTACTTTAAAGTTTGTCTAAAAGTTGAATCTGCCCATATCAACAGTCATTGTACCTATCTACAAAGAACAGAACTGGGATTGAGCCTTTGCCTAAAAAAAGCCTCAGTGGGTCAGTTGTAGCATGTTATTGAAAAGTCCTTGACCCTCATGACCCGTTGATCTTCTTCCAGGCTATAATTTTGTCAGAAATTTGACTATGATGAGAGCAATATGGGGCCCAGGAATTTAAATTCTACTTTTCAATTTAGATACACTTCTGGAAAAATCTGCATTGTATTGAGACATAAAAATAACTTCATAGGGTTAAAAAAAATCCTTTATTAGAAGCTTGGACCTGAGGGTGTGGCTTTCGAGTGGAAACATACAAAACATAGACCACATCTCTGTATCTCAGTACAATAACCCATTTGATTATAATTATGATAATAATTATGAAAATAATTGCATTTACACATAGCACATATATATAATATATGTATGCTCTATGCCCTTTACAACTATTATTACCATCAAACATGACTTGGAAATATTCTTGGCTTCTGCAAAGCATTCAGTGCAAGTAGCCAATGAAGCCCTAAAACATTATCAAGCTGATAAAATCTTTTGCTGTGTTTCACGCAGTACTCATTCCCACCTGGGTGGAGTGTGGAAAATTTGTGTAAAGAGCCTTTCCCATGGACACGAGGGGCTCCTGATGGAATTCAAACCCACAACCTTACGGACATCCACATTGACACGATTTTGATGATTAATTCACAAGGCGAACTACTTCAACCCTATCATAGAGAGTGGTCAACTCAAGCTGAATGGGATGTATGGAGATATGTGTTAAGTAAAACTCCCTTGCAAGGGAATCAAACTGATATGATCTTCCACATGGAACAGCGAAGAGCCTAATCATTACACTTACACTTCAAATACCTGTAGTAAAAAACAAAAGTTCCCATATCAAGAAAACAACAAATAAAATAACTCATGTCAACACAAATATGCTCTCGGGCCGTTTTATTATGAAACTTGTACATGTAATAATATGTTCACAATGAAAAGTTTGAATAGGTCACCAATGGAATGATAGAACACAACATATCATCGCATAAACGTGCTATACATGAACATGGGCCTTGATTACACAAGAGCCTTAACACTTCTGGATCATACTAATGTACAATTGAGCTTCACGAATTCTCCACAGTTGTCTTCCAGACATATTCAGAGCAACAGCCTTAATTAATCTGTATTATCCATGTCAATGACAACGTAATTATTACAGCAACAATCATCTGGGCCATTTTTTTTTTGCATTCCAATTGGAAACTTGCCATTCACATTCAGACTTTCAGTTTAATAAAGAAAAACCAGAGATAAAGATTTATCCCAAATAAATAAACAATAATAATGCCACTACTCTCAGGGAGTTGAACTTTTAGAAATTTAATTAAGAAAAGTGTCAAAGACAAATAAATCATTAACAAGCTCCCCAGTAGGTCTGACAGAACTTTAAAACTCGGAACAAGTCGAAAAAATCAAATTTCTCATTAAGTTCGTTTTACTCTATCATATTTAATTACTGGAAAGGCATCAATCAACTTCTCTTTGCTCAAGCAACCAACAAGAAAAGGAGATACATGTACAACATTAGCAACACACACACACACACACACACACACACACACACACACACACACACACACACACACACACTGGGTTTTGGCAATTGCCAAAATCCCACCACTTTGGGTTGCTTTAGTGCTAACACTAACAGGAAACTGCATGTGTACACGTAAATCACTTTGCAGCTGGCTTTGTCAAACTCTACACAGACAGCCCAAGAAACTAAATATTACTGTACAGCTCCAGTCTCCCTCTTTCTAAACTATATAACGAAGTGCAACAGCTAGTCTCAATAGACAGACATAAAAAAGAAAAATCTTGCATTTTCGTTTCAGTAATGAAGCCACACATGTTTAGGAATCTAGATAATAAAATTTATCATAGCTCTTTTTAATTGTTTATAATTTTCCTGATAAGAAATCACTTTCTTCAGCCAGCAAGAAATTACATTGCAATATTACATGCTTTTCGCCCTGAGATGTTTGAGGCTTCCTGACCCACACTGACAGGCACAAAAACAGAGAGTGATATTGGTGAACACAAAATTCTAGTAACAATGTAAGTGAAGTAAGGCAGGCGGAGAAACACTCCAGTAGCAGACCTTGTACAGAGGAATAAACAGCAGATTCAGAGTGAAAAACGACGGCAACATCACCAGCATATATTCCCAGCACAGAGTAGTAAGTAGCAAAAAGTACAAAATTAAGAATCAGCGACAAACCAAGCATTTATACTGTACCTGGTTATAACAGAAAATTGACACAAATACATATACTTGAAGTATATCAATCACAATGTTAGCTTAACTTAAGGCTGGAGTCTCTGACTTTGGGTTTCAGAGGGGACATTGGATGCGACCATTCAAAGTGTTAAAAAGGCTTCTGCAACATGACATTACACCAAAACTCCAAGAGAGTTACATCAAGGGTTTAATGACAAAAGTGGTTATCTTCAGAATTCAAACTCACTTTTTTTCTCTCTAGATCGCTAGTGCAGGAGGTTTCATTTGGTTTCTCAAAACTTGCTGTAAATAATGAGTTTTCATATAAACTGCTTTGACTCAGTTTTTTCTTGAAAAGCCTACATGATTGTGATTCATACAATCAGACTTTTCAAAATTGTTCCTGTGTTTGGGCATATCGCAATCATCAGTTTTCAGCAAGACTTTCATTTCAAATGAGGCAACATCATGCAATATGCCCAATAGTTCTACTTCAGCACAGTCACATTGAGAATACGCCCCAAAAACCAAAACCAAGCATGGCATATAGCGTATCTGACACTTCAGAAAAGCAACATAACAGCAATGAACAATCTTGAGTAAAAAAATGACTCAACTCACATAAATAGATTGTAGCAAACTAAAAACTGGAATAGATGTGCGTAACTATTTCTTCCCCATCTTAAGCTGTCAAATTTATTCTCATATTCACATCTGGTGAAGAACACAGCCCACTTACACCCACTGACATCCTGAACACCCTTTGGGATGCAGCCACTGAGGGCGTGCAAATCTTTGTCCAGAAGGACAATATCGGAAGGCAGGAATTTAGGGAGTATGGAAATGAATCTTTTTTTCCCCAGCAGAACCCAACAGAGCCCCTCTAAATAAAAAAAGAGGTCAAGGACTTTGAGGGTCTCAACATTCTTGGCCAATTTGCTGAAATTTCTGCCTTCTGCCTGAGGGGGGGAGGGGGGGGGGTTCTGATGTTTGGTAAGAGTTTTACCACTTCAGCAGCAACATAACTTCAAATGAGCACAGTATCTACTATGTTGGAGGGCTCCTTCATTTAGAAAATTAAACCTTGATTTGAATCCATTTCTGTTGATACATTTTTTTTCTTATCTTCTCCCATTGAGGCATGTTTTATATGTAAATCTCACCTCCTATATCTTCCGATAGCCCCTAATAATAAAATGTAGCTGTTATGTTAAGCTGCTAATACCTTTCAAAATATTAGGGAGTAAAGCAGGTCTAGGGGTTTAACATCTTTACCAACTCTATTAGGTTATCTAAGAGCCGAAACTTCCAAATTTTAACATCTGTCCTCCGTCCTCTGACAGGACCAAGCCAAATGGGTTGAGAACCTTGACAACTCCACAAAAACAACCCAAGTTCAAGAAAGCCCAGTCTGGGATTCGAACCAGGGCCATCTGCTCCATGGTCCGGCATGCTACCAACTGACTAACGAAGCACCTAAATTCAGAAAGGACTAAAGCAACACTACATCGTATCATTCTCCTAGAAGAAAAATGTACACGCCACAGATAAACGTGTTGGTATGAGATTTATTGTGAAATAAATGATTTCCATCAACCCTCTACTGCGTTTTTAAAGTATGGCTGAGAGTTTCAGAATTCTCCCATCTTGCTGTGCTCTGACTTATCAAAGTAACCAACTCTCCACTTATTTCTCCTTATTTGTCCACAAAAAATTAAAAGGGTTTGAAATATATGGCCTTAAAAGACAAGATTCTGTTATGTTTTTTGGTTTTATTTCGTTTTTTAAAAGGGGGGGGGGGGTTCACAGCATCAGTAGTGATTTCAAATACCATACCATCAAAATTACAAAGTTGTTGACACACACACAGAGACGTTTACACACGCGCGCTAATCACTATAGCCACAACCATAGATGTTACAGACATATTCAGAAAGAGGGGGATAGATACTGCAAAGTCATATGATAAAGCCAGCTTTTGAAAAGCAAATTTGAATAAATTCATGAAAAATGACACACCACAGTTTCGATGCTTCAAGGCACTTGAAGAAGCAAACAATCTTAAATGTCAACAACAGGGCTATCATCATATTTTGTGGGCAGGACTGTAATAACCAGTATCATAAACAATAATCAATAATAACAACAGATCAAACAGTGACAATCTTGAACATCACAAAAGTCAGTCAAAGTTTTATTTTATGGACAAAGCAAAGACCACAATGAAAAAAAGACCGAAGTAAGAAACTCAAAATTCTTGAATTACTGTCATTAGCACGTCTACTGCTTTCATAGATTACTCTAAAAACTGGGCAAAACGAACAACTGGTTCAATCTAGAATTAAAGACCCCATTTAAAAAAAACAGAACAACAGGAAAATGACCCAAAGCAGAGTGAGTTTTGAACTGAAAATTCAATTTTCTGTAAGCCTCAAAATATTACTATGATTATTTTTCCATTGTGTTCTTCAGATGAAGGCGTGAGATTATGCAGTAATGTTAGTCTTAAACCATGGGAATTATGACAGAGAATGAACATGTTTTTTTTAAATGACTACACACACCCATACACATACACACACACACACTCGTTCATCATCGCATTCACACATGCACACATTCAGTCATGCACACAAGTATGTACGCACACACGCTCACACATATACACATATACACACACACACGCGCGCGCGCGCACAAACATATTATATTCACTTGATTTCTCTTGCCAGCAAGAGTAAAGAGTAGCCCTTCGCCAAAACATTCACAACATGGGCCATCATAAATGGTTATGTTATTTAACATAGTTTTGAGGGAAAACTGTAATAACAATTTCTTAAATTCCTGTCTTCTCCTGAAAAAGGGCATATCCATTCTTTCTTAACTACTTGAACATTAGATTTATGATGTGGTAGGATGGTCATTCTAGTGATAAATACCATTTTGAATTTTGGCTAACTCTTTGATGCATGTCTGACTGATGCCCTTATCATAGCAGGTTGAAAAAACTCACCAAATCACATTGGGGGAAAACTACTCACATTTGGGAACAAATGGCTCCCTAAATATCCTCAAACTTTGCATACCTAACAGAAAAAGTTCTAAATAATTTAATAAATCAAGATGGAATAAGGTTATTGAGCAACAATTATTTACATCCCCAATTTTCAAAAGTACCAGTACAAGTCTTATTGCACAATCAAACCAGCATGGAGGAAAAACAATCAGTCTTTAACCCTTCCAATCCTGGCTCTCTCAGCTTCACAGAACCTCTGCACCTGAGCTTCCCCACAGATTGCTGCAAGATTTTGCACCACCCACACTGATAATGTAGGTATTTCTTCACCCCTATTGACACATTAGATCATTTAGGAGGTGGGCTTCAACTTTGCCCATTATTGTTCATTGAATGAAGGGGGGAAAAAAGCATTTTCCAGACAAGACTGACATTGCTCAGGACTTTATAATAAGTGTAGCAGCACATAAACAAAAAATAAAAAATAATTTTCACTAATCATTACACATACTTTTACCGACAGGCAATAAAACATCTTCACATACAAACAATGATTTGTATCATAACAAAAATTGACATATATGATTCTTTAAAAAGTAATGTAAGAGTCAACAACAAAATGTATGTAACACGTCTCCAGCGTATATTTTGGTCTTTACGTCAGCATTTTGGCTAGGCAAAAAGTCTTGCACCTGGTGTCAAGGTGAGAAGCCACAGCCTATACCTGAGTAACCACCAGACACAGTTGATTAATTCAATGAGGACGCACAGTTTTAGGGCACTTGGAAAAAACAGAGGCATGGCTTCCTTCTTCATACTTAGTTTTAAATTCTTTTCTTATTACCTGAAACTTTAAAAGGCAGGCACCAACCTGCATACTATGAAATAAGCAAATTCATGTTTCTTACGAGCATAAGATAGTTTGAAATGTGCAGCAAACAATGCCTTTGGTCAACTGCCGATCATATGTACAAGTGCGCTAGGTCCTTCTCAAACAGTTAACACACAGCATATTGACGAACGAAGTCATTGCAGCCTAGTGCTTTATGTTGCGGGTGACAGTATAATAATTAATACAATGCTCAGGGGAAGAGGTTACACATTAAAAAATGGAAAATTTAATTTAGGCACGGTAATCTATAACTGTGTATATATTATATTATGTCAAAACATATTTACTTTTCTTTTATAAGCAAAGCAGATACAGAAAAATTCAGGCCCCATAATCACAGAAAGAGAACTAAATTAGTAAAAAAGTACAAGTAAATTTGAACTTGTGAATGATTAACCCTGACTTGATTTCTCCTCTCTCACAGCGGTGGGTCAATCAGCATACATATATAGAACAATGCCGCACTGATTCATATATTCACAGGTGCTGGATGTTAAACACACATTTGCAGCAAAGATTATTATCTTGCAAACACACTTATTTCAAATTTTTTTAAAAGGAGTAATTGATTTTCACAGACGTTGCTCTTGTCACCTTCAGAATACATATGTTATTACAAAAAGCTACAGGAAAAAATCATAATAAAGGGCTTTGTGTTATAATTGGTTATCTCCAATATTTGAAATTCCATTTTTTTCCCTTCAGATCCCTAGCGTGATCTTTAATCTTTGCTGCATTAAAATATTTTGTTGCAAAATGTGCTAATAACAATTATTCTATATTGCTCCGTTTCAGTTTTTCTTTTTTCCAGCATACAGATCAAGAACCGAATCATCAGCTTCTTCTATGTCTTTCATTATTTATAGAATGCATTTCTCATATGGCCCTTCAAGAGCAGATTTAAAAAATGTTCATCTTCAACTCAATACATTCCCCAAAATGTATGCATATGAGAAATACAACTTCATTCCAGCAGCTAGGTGAGATCTGCTGCCAATATTTGAGCAGAGGGAACATATCACATCGGTAAGTAGTTCTTGCTTCTTTAACCCTTTCTTGTTTAGCCTGGCTGCAACAAGCCAGAAAAAAGTGCTCCAGTCCAACCCGTCCAAAAAAAGCCAGGCGACACTCTCTCTCCAACGGGATTCCCTCAATGGTAAGCTTCACTTTGATGATAAAGATAAATTACAGACAATTGGCTATAATTTCTTCTTTTCAATTTAGCAAAAAAACCCGTCAGAACCAGTATCAGAAGTCAGCCTGGTTCTTTAGGAAATTGCTACGTACACTGGTAGTTGAGCGACTGGGCGGCCACTTTTAGCAAAGAACGCAAACAGAAAAGGGTTAATGTGTGTAAAAAAAGTCTTAGCTTTACATACATTCAAGTACACTAATTCTTTTCTGAGATAACAGATATTATTTTGAAAGAAAGGCAGCCCTATCTTTTAAAAAAAATAATAAAAAATTCTTAAACCCTTTTTGGGTTGCAAACAGTCTATAACAAATTACCTAAACTTATTTTTCAACAAAATTTCTCCTTACATCACAACACATTGACCCTGTATACACAGCAATGTGGTCAATCATAGCACACGGGATTGTGAGTTCATATGTGAGGCATCGTGGTGAAATCAGGTGGTCGTCAAAATAATTAAATCAAAGAAACCGGCATATTTCCGCTGGTTTCGCAACGTTTGTCAAAATTTTGCTTTTTGGCTCGACACCTTTTATATCCATTTAAAAGCACATTTTTGTATGCAGTTTACTGAAAAACATTGATTAATGGCACAAAAAATATAAATTTTCAGTTTTCAAAGACTCTGAGTCATTGTAAATAGTAAATCACCAAATTTTGACAATCATTTTCTCGCTAATTTTGCCTCAGAAACTAGGCTGTGCCCACCCCTTGTAATTGCAAATATCTCAACTCCTATTCAAGATAGATTGGTATATTTTTTTCTCCCCGAAAGCAAGACAAAAGAACAAGCTTTAAGATTATACCAATAACTCCATATGCCTAAAAATTGACAAACGCCTGATTCCACCAGATCGTGACACACATTAATCTTTAATCTTCCATTTCGAATTTTTACCACAGACAGACTTAATAAATTTGGTTGTGACCATCAGTAAAATTTGGGATTCCTTTCAACAACTGGCTTCCTCCTCCAGAGCACAAATTAAGGGCCTCTGGTAAAGACGAAAGAGACCAGTCATTGTATCTCCAACTGGATGGCGAGAACAAATTAAGTCCTTATCACCCTCCAAAGTAGACGAGCCAGTAACATGAAATGCAAAGCAGATGAGCCAGCAAAAAGTAATCAAACTGACAAAAATGCTCTCTATACAAAAATGTATGGGTAAGTGTATCACAAAAGTACGGAAATGTTTGATGGATGCATTATTCTCAGGACTCTCAAAGGAACTATAAAAATCTGCAGGTTGGAATGTGAAGGTCAAGACAAGGGAAGATGTACCACCCCTGTCTGAGACAGGAAAGGAATCACAGAAAACATTTCTTCTACAATACGTACAAAATATTCCCGACTTATCTTAGCCTCTTTCGTGACTTGGTGAGGAAGAAATAAAAAGCAATTTCATCAGAAAGGGACAAAAAGTATAGTAATGAAAACAACTCTACAGCCAAGAATAGAACTCTACTCTCAACAGAGAGAATATGACCAAAAAAAACATCAGCAAATCTTCCCAAGCTAACAGTGTTTTACCCTCACCCATTTTCTGTCCAGTAAAAAGAAAACATTTATGGAACAATGAATTTTTCCCTACTTGAGATCAAGAAATGGATTTATAGGAACTGAAACGAAATCTAGAGCTCTAAAACACAAAATCTCGACATGATTTAAAAAATAATGTTAAAACATGAATCTCAATGCGTTCTTGGCAAAATTTGGGTAAAAAAATATATGCTTTACAGACATACAATGCAGAAAAGAGGAATCATTGTGTAGATGTATTGATGGAATCTCCCCTTCTCAATAGCGTCGAGGTTGGGAGATGCGATCAAAATGTTGTCCTTTCTGCTGAGGATGTCCTGAGTGTTGGTAACCTTGATTGACATGTCCCTGTCCATAGCCAGGCCCGCCCCTCCTCTCCTGCATGGGAACGTCCACTGAATAAACTCCGCCTCTCTGTGAATGCAAGAAACAGACAACAATACAGTCAGTGACAGCATAAAACAGAGCAAGTGCACTTCTTAATAGAAACCTGTTAGGGTCAATGATTGGAAAGGTACAGAGTAGTGCTCAATTCAAAATAAAGAGACGCCTGTTTGTTTGAGTAAAGAGAAGCACATCCACACAATAAAGGTCATTTAGAGCTGGGAAAAAAAGACAGACAGACAGACAGAAACAAAAGAGAGGAAAAGTAAAGAGGTAGGACCTACCAGTCGCACCCTCCAACCACCCGCATAATAAAGAAGACGCACATTGGCGTACAAAATGGTAACTTCAATGGTAGAGCTGGGTAAAGAGCAAAAAAACAGACAGGCGTAACACACAAAAGGAAAGCATAACAGATATTTTACACAGACAGGATACAAGATAGACATTATACATGGAGAGGAAGCTGGATGACATACATGAACATGAAACAAGATGAATGGACATTGTGCATGGACACAAAACAAGACAGACAGACCAGAAACTAGAAAAACAAACATTATACATGTACACGAAAAAGACAGACAGTTAAAATACACAGGCAAGAAGGACGCATGACCTTCATGCAGTCCCACTAAAAACTGTCTGTTTATCAAGGACCACATTTGAAACAAACTCTCTGATTGTCATGCATGACAACATGACACTGTAACCACTTCGTAAATAAAAGGCACACTTTTATCGAACTTAGACACATTATGTTATTTTTGGTAGAAAAAGAATGTCAAATTATTATTGTTGTTAAGAAAAAGAATTTGTCACTCTATTATCGTACTTAGAGACATTAAGTTACTTTTGGTATAAAAAGAATGTCAAATTATTATAGTTGTTAAGAAAAAGGATTTGTCACTCAATTATCGTACTTAAAGATGTTGTGTTACTGTTGTTATAAAAATGACATCAAAGTATTATTCTTGTGTGAAGGACTTCACGTTGTCAAATAAAGGACTAGGTACACATGTTATTGCATGTACCCGATTACTTACTTATCCAGATTTTTCTGAATTTATTCTTCTGACAACATTTTCAATTTATTTCAAAAGCGCTGAAAAGTAAAAAAAAATTAGCAGACTTGAAAGTAACATTATTTCTTCACGTACATCTCAGTAATAAAAGCCACAACCATGAATAAATAAGAAAGCAATGCAAGATGGCAGCAGATTTCAACACACAGGGCATTTAAGATGTGCACTATGCAAGGAAAATAAAGCACGGGAATGCATAAAAGCAGGATCTGGTACACTATTTTGAATTTACTAACAATAATTTGTTGGTGTTTTAAAAACTGACTACACATAATTCTCTCTCTCTCTCTCTCTCTCTCTCTCTCTCTCTCTCTCTCTCTCTCTCTCTCTCTCTCTTTCTTCCCCCCCCCCCTCAAATACATACGATACAAGATCTTTAAAATAACAGTGTGATATGAACTGTTAATGGATCCAGAATAATAAGATAAATATAGGCATGCAGAGAAATGTGGTGAAATGATAATGTTAAAAAACAACAACCCAACATTATACACCCAGGACATAATCAAATGCAAAATATAATAGTAAAAGGAAAATCACTGCATTTTCATAAACATGAAGTCACCCTCATGAGACCTTTCTTTCAGTTTTGAGTTGGAGAGAAAAGACATGTTGGAGAGAAAAACACACTGACACAATAAGGGCCATTTCGTGAAGGTTACAAAAAAAAAAGGAAGATCAATAGACAGAGACAACAGAATGGGGAAAACATACAAGTGACGCCCTCCAGAACTGTGTTAAAGCTGTCGCTTAATATTATTTCTCAGTTCACAAACTGTTTACAACATCTCCTTTTAACTCCAATCTTACACCGCACTACCTGCCCAATAAACGCATTCACCCTCCTCACCATCGTGTATGGTGTGGTGATTAGGCGATTCACTCTCACATGAAGGGAACCTGAGTTCGATTCCAGTGTGGGGAGCATTTTTACCGAGTAGAGCGGTCTTTCTGCTGATGTGTTCTATCCTTCCCGGAACGGATTGACCTTGGTGGGCAGGATCGAAGCCCGCCTCCTCAATATATAAACTGTGTCGATGAGGGCGTGAAACCATCTTGATTAAAATAATATCAATGAAAAAAGAAAAACACAGTCCTCGGTAGTTCAACTTTCATCTCTGTGATAAAAATTGGAACCCCGGACAGTTGGCTGGTGCTCTTGTGTAGTTTGCTCCTTCTTTCCTATCAAACATCAATGACCCTGATTCCTCCCCCCCCCCCCCTCCTGCATTTTGTGTATGTTACTCTCTTGTAACACCTCTAATCTTTGGCACTTACATGACCTTTTATTGTGTTGCAAGTGCCGTCAAACTCTTACTAAGGGGGCTCTCGTGGCCTAGAGGTTAAGGTGATCGCTTCTCATTCAAAGGTCCCGGGTTCGAATCCGGGTAGTGACCGAAAAAAGTTCTTTAAAATTGTCTCCTTTCACCTCCTTTCTTGCTCTCTAGCAATGTTCTGTCATCTGCCTTCGTCTCCACTTTCTGCCCCCACCCCTCACCTCCTTTGCCCCCTCCTCTAGGCCCCTGACTCTTTCTGCAGCCTTTCTACTGCTACTCCATGGCTCCTTCTTACTGCTGTCTTTCAGCCATACCCCTGATCTTCTGGCAGGAAAGATCTACACCTAGCCTTCTCGGACAATGGTGAAAAATCTCGGAGGTCCCGTGTGCAAGTTGCGCACGGTAAAGATCCATTGGTGGTTTAAAATCGATAAGAGTAGGCTTCGGCCGCCACCAGGGCAAAATTCAAAATTTCCAACCAACTGAAAATGTGTAATGTGTTCCGCGCGCTCATATGACCTTATGCAGTTGTGAACGCCGTAAAACACGTACAAAAAAAAACACCCCAAAAAACTCTTACTAAAACTTTTTTTTAAATAACTAAGATTCGAACCAAGGCTTACAACAACAGAGCAAAACCACCCTATGACATAGAAAATATTCCTATCTTACTAAACAGGGTCGTCTCATCAAGATTCGAACCCAGGCTCACAACAGTGCAGAACCACTCTACGAAATAGAGAAAAAATCTACTTCACTTACTACAGCAGGGTCGTGTCATCACACTTGTCCGGTGATTCTACAGACAACAAAGACTCACTCGCTGCCTCAGTGTTACTCTGGCGAGAACAAAGACATCATCCACTGTCTGTAACTTTTTAACCTACATCCACCTTTGACTTCCTCTCATCCTATATATATATATGTAATCTATTGTAACTGTAGATGTTTCACGCCCTCATCGACACAACTGAGACCACGTGGGGGGGGGGGGGGCGCTGTTTGGACCCTACCCATCAAGACTAACCCGGACTGAGAAGAGATACACCGCCTAAACAGAAGGACGGAGATACTTGATAAAAAAAAAACAATGGAAAAACAAAACAACCAAACCAACAAACGAACAAAAACAACAACAACAAGAACCAACAAACTTTTTTTTTTAAAACGGAGATACACGAAAAATAATAATAACTCCCCACAAGGCTATGGATAAAAACATCTGCATTACTTTTTTTAAAAATAGTATGTATCGCCGGTGGACCCCCTCTCATTTTCTCAACACAATCCATGTATGTTATAGTCGAGCACAACAAAACAAGGTCAGCCTGTCCAGGAGGAGAACCAAGACAAAAATCAACACGACAGTCTGGAGTTGCTTCAGGGGTTGTTTTGTAACTTGACTTTCAATTTTGACAGATTTTAACTTTAAGAAAAATTATTATGCCCTCATAGATACAATTTGGGTCATTCAGGGGGTGGGCTTCAACCAAGACTGAGCTGAGAGGGATACAACGTCCCAGCAAAAGGACCCAGATACTCGATAACAACTCATCCCAAACTAAAATCAAACTCGGTTCTTCAGTGTGCGGTGGCTCCGTGTCTGACCGCTCCACCACAGACGCCCATGACACATTTTGACATTTTAGGAAGCACAGAATGAGCAACACAAGACAGAGTTATTTGATCAGTCGTATTTTACATTCTTTTTTTTTAATAAATTAAAAAAATCAACAAACCAAAACGTTCTAATTCAATGACTCGCCATCTGCTCAATCAAAAGCCCCAAACTAACAGTGCCAGGCATGTAGAGTGGAATATGTCGAGACAGAGACGTAATAGACGACTAAACTATCTTCGTGAACAAGACTGTGTTTACTTTCAACTGTGCACGTTCAAAAGATCTACGCCGTCCTTTTAGAACCAAAATGTCTTTACACAAGTTAACATTTTAAAGCTCAACTCTGTCTTTACATCTTTAAATCAAAGTAGATATGAACACGAACAACCCCACACCCCCCCCCCCCCAACCAACAAGAGTGAGACAGGCTATCAGAAATGAGGCGATGATAATGAAGATGCCAGCCAAGGAGATAATACAATAAGGTCATTGGGGCCAGTTTGCTCTCTCCAAATCCTTTCATGCGTTCAGTGAGGGCAGGAATTGTTCAGACGCATGCTCGTTCGTTAGAAGTAACAAACGTCCATGAACACATGGGTGTGCGCAAGATCTGATCACAGACGGTGCACAGAGAGAGAGAGAGAGAGAGAGAGAGAGAGAGAGAGAGAGAGAGAGAGAGAGGGCAAAGCAACAAATATGGCAAAGACACCACAGTGCAGCGAGAAACAAACTGACATGACATTAGAAGGTACAAATCTGTTGAGCAAACCGCAATCATTACTAAAACGAACGTGATAAAAACAGCTTAATTGAATTTAATAAAGCGAAAAAAGGGGAAATAAAATCACCAAAAAGCAAGTGTGTGTGACACAGGGAGTGAGAACAAACAAGCAAACAAGAGGACACACTGAGAGACTCACACAAGGAGAACAAACAAATGCACAAAGACATGAACAGACAGAGAGACTCACACAGTGCCAGATCCTGCTCCAGCTTGTAGGCATGCTGCTCCTGTCTCTCTTTGCGCTGTCAGGACACACATCACGT